CAATAGATTCCAAACTGAAAATTCAAAAATTCAAAATTAAATGTATAGTGAAATATTATTGCAACTAGAAAATTTAACAATAAAATTGAAACTTTCGCAGAAGGGGTGGCGTATTCTCTGCATATTTCCATTAATTTGTGTTACAGTTTGCATAATCGTTTTCCTTTGTTGCAATAGTTTGGCGAATTTGTTATTGATTTCTCCTTATTATTAGTTTATTCTTTTTGATAATTTTGATACACCATTTATGCATGATTAATCGATTCTAAAAAATCGATTCCTATCCCTACTCTGATGACTTCAACGCCAGAGTTTTCTGCATAAGTCTGAACACTATTTTTCAGTTCCACAAAGCACATTTCGTTGATACCTTCCACTTTTTACAAATTGCTTTAAGATCTTTCAATGGATCTTCGGTATTCTGTTATGGCCAAATCCTTGGAGTCATCGTCGTTGAAGATTTCAATAAATAGTTTATAATCTTCGGAAATTGCTTTCATTGCACTTACGAGTCCAATTAATTCGTTACGAAGGGCAACACTATTATAAATAATGGTGGCCAACGTTTTTGGCAAATCTTTTCTAAATTGCAATTTAATGAAAGAATTAAGAGAATTTGATTGATATATAGTATATACATACATGCTTTGTTTTACTTCCTTACTATCTCCGGCGAGGTTGAGATACTTTTGAACAAGCCAACACTTATTTACGAGTTCCATTTGATAGACCACAGCATCAAAGAATGGTGCAATTAATTTATTTACTTCGTTGGCGTCAGCCTAAGAACTTTCATAACGTGTTGCATAAGCATTTTCTCTTTTTTGAATATCATTTTCGGCGTCATTGATCGAAGAATTGTTATCCGTGACATCAGTCATGTTTATGGATATTTTTTAGTATTTTTTAGAGAAAAATCAAGTTATTTTTTTTTAAAAAAATTTGGTAGAGTTGTGTGAGCTGCGACAGACCTTTTATTTTGAATTCTCTTATAACTCCGAATATAGAGATGATACTCGGAATTTTAAGTTTATGATTTTGATTAAATTAACACTAATATTTTTTATATGCTGATTACGTATAAATTGGATAGTTCAGACTTTTCTTGAGTTTTTATTTGATCATTTTTCCCCATTGATTACGTATTGTGATATTGTGATGATTGATCAATATTAAAGTTAAGATATCAATATCGATATGTATGCATGCAATTACTGTACATCAGTCCGAAAAAAACTTAAAACTTAAGTAAGGAAAGTTACATTGGGACTTGAAATAAATTTTATCTGTTGAGTACATGTATTATCGTTATACGTATAAGGATATCGTTATTGGATGAAGAGTAATGATTTTAGAATTGTAAGAATTGCATATACGTACTAAGCACTGGTACATTTTCACATGACCAAAGATCATCAATTGGACTAAAAGTACAGCGTGATGTTGGTTGCAGATACAGAAATATTTTGAGACATGAAAGTAAATTAATGGAGCATATTTTACCAATTTTAAAAGTATTGTAAAAAGAACACATGCTAGTTACTTATAACGAGAAATTGGTCTTTTTTATCTCGTTTATTGATTGATTTCAACACAACTTCCCATTAATTTGTTCGTTGCAAGATAAATCTTTCAAACGGAATCCATTCAAAAAAAATATACCGATTTTTTATTATATTGTTGATATCTTTATTTTCGCGAACTATCCAGCTTTACAAATTGATAGTAATCCCTAGGAGTACTTATAATTTACTTATAATTTAGTGATAATATGTTAATTTTAATAACAACTTAATATGTGAACGTACATGGTTTGCCATCATCACAAACCCATCACCGCTATACAAAGTATGATAGCAGTTTGATGTAATCGTGAATCATTCGACTAAACGGACTTGAGTTATTAGTCATCTATTCATCATCTTATTAAGTTTAAATTATTTGAATAACGTATAACTATTTATCTTTATTTAGAACCTCCGAGTTGACGCTTTTCTACATTTAATATTTATAACAATAATAATTATAAATTTAACGGAATACTTCTTTTATTAGAGTTATATAATGACTTCCATATTATTTATCACTCCTAACAAAATCATACAGAATTTTTAACCCCGAATATTAATGCAAACAATATTCATTTTAAACCTCAAGCCTTAGTATCTTAGATTTTTTGTGGAATTGAGTATTTTTCGTTTAGTAGATTTTGATCTACTGAAACTTCTTTAATCAAATAAAAATCACATCTGGATCAATAATAAAATGTTCTGAGAAGTACTGGATATCCACCAACTATCATACGGATTTGTACAAAATTCATTGAAATATTAAATCTGAAGGTCCAATTTTCATTTAGAAAATTAATTCTGCTAATTTTTGTGGCACCTTGTTGTTCGTTATAAAAATTGAAAGGCTCTTTTAATATATTATCTACCAATCTGGAATTTATGGAATATATAAATGTAAGTATACAGAAATTTATGGAAATTCTACCACTATAACGTATGAACTTTTTTATAGATGTATATAAATTTTGTTAAATCCCTTATTATCTTATCATTTATTAAATTACCACTTAAAGTGTTTGATATGCATGTACAGTCGCCGCAAAAAGTAACGCCCGATTTTTTTAAAAAATGAAATTTTCGATTTATTTCATTTCTGCTTTA